ACTACATGTCACAGTGGGGGAATACCTGTGGCTGAATCAGAGTGTGACTGTCAGTCTTTAGCTTTATGTATCTTGTGTGGATTATCCTCATCTCAGAACACTACCTTATCAGTTAATTGATACAGTGAGAAAAGCAAAAACGACCCCTTCGCCAAAGTAGAAGATTTGAGATGTTTTACTGCAATTGCTAAAGCATTCCAGGTGACAAAACAATTTGTAAACATCTTTTACTTCATTTTACTTTAATATGTATGTATGAGACAGGGTCACTCTGGCTGGAGTGCAGTGGTGCAATCATGGCTCACTGTAGCCTTGACTTCCCAGACTCAAGTGATCCTCTCACCTCAGTCTCCTCAGTAGCTGGGATTACAGGCACGTGCCACCATGCCCAGCTAATTAAAAAATAATTTTTTTTTTGTAGAGACAGTGTCTCATTATGTTGCCCATTATGTTGTCTTAAATTCTTGAGCTTAAGGAATCCTCCTGCCTCAGCCTCCCAAAATGCTGTTTACAGGTGTCAGCCATTGTGCCTGGCTGAAATCTTACTTTTTTTTTTGAGACAGAGTCTCATTCTTTTGCCTGACATGATCTTGGCTCACTGCAGCCTCCTCCTCCTAGGTATCTGGGATTCCAGGTGCACACCACTATGCCAGGTTAATTTTTGTATTTTTAGTAGAGACGGGGTTTCACCATGTTGGCCCAGCTGGTTTTTGGTTTTTTTTTTTTGGTAGAAGTGGGGTTTCCCCACGTTGCCCAGGCTGGTCTCCACCTTCTGAGCTAAAGTGATCTAAAGTGCTAGGATTATCATTTTCATTAGTGAATCAGAAGTTTGGGCTGTGGAGGCTCACCTCTGTAATCCTAGAATGGCACCTAAAATGGTGCCACTGTACTCTAGCCTGGGCAACAGAGAGACTCTCTGCCTCAAAACAGAAAGAACTAGATAGACAGTTACTTGATTAGAAAATGTGATTACATAAGCTTTTTAATATAAAAAGGTAACAGTGTAGGCCTCTCCAATATGTACTCTGACCCTCTGAAATTCCTAAACTGAAAGTATTTTAGTCGGAGCAGTTTACAGTCACCTGAAACATCGTTGTGGCCATTTTCTGCTGTTGATTGAACATGAGAAGAAAAGAAAAGTAACTGCTGATACTGGTGGTTGTCTTTTTTTTTTTTTTTTTTAAAGAAAAGTAACCTCCATGGCACTAGGATGGATGCTCTGATTAGGTTGTGACCCCAGGTAGCAATTCTGAATGGCAGGTACAGATGCCAGTGCTGACCAATTACAAGGCCACAGGCTGGTGCCCACATCCCAGGAGCTCTGCAGTGCAGGGAGCAATCAGTTGTCATTAACATTAGCATATGCATTGAGATTAGAGGCCTGCTGGGACTATACTAATTCTGTATTTTGTTTAGTACTTTGTGCTCGATGCTTATTATCCAAAAAGACCAGCATCATCTCTGAGAAGACATTGCTCATAGCTGGTTAAAGACAACCCAAAAAACCCCTGGGGTTGGTTTAGGACAGCTCTTCCCTTCTGTCTTTCACTCCACCCTACCTCCATCCCCGCTGTCCCCCCAGGAAAACATTTTTCCTCCAGGAAGCACAGGGCATCTTGGGAAGGCCAAGTCGAACACTGTAGACAGTGATGTGGACATTCTTCAGCATTCTCCCTGGTCATCTTCGTCCCAGAGACCTTTGCCTTGCAGTGGGATGATATGTTCACTCAGAGAGCACCATGCAATCTGCAATCCCTGAAATCCGGGTCAAACTCTGCTACCATCTCCCCTTTCCTCGTCCCCCAGGGCATGCTTTCTCAGTAGATTTTCATGCACCTGTGATGTAATACATGTGGGTTTATTATTTTTTACCATCCAGTTCTACTGATCTGAGAACTGGACAACTCTAAGGCTTCCTGTAGCACCTGCTCTGGGGCTGCTCCATGCTGAGGCCCCTCTGCAGCCATGGGGACATTCTGTGCACCAAATGGTGTTCCAGGCTGTGGCAGTAGTTCCCTGTTCTGGCGCTAGGGGAAACTGGAGCAGCTCGGCCCATCTGGGCTTAGCCTTTCTGTAAGTAGCACTGAAACACCGTTAGGCAGATCCACGCCCCCTTCCGTGTGTGGCAGGCACTGGCTGGTGGTGTGGAGCACCTCGAGGCAGGTAAGAACACAGCAACGCTGCAGTCACCGCACAGCAGCATTGTGTGGACTTGAGCTAGAAATCCATACACCTTGCATCATTTCCTAGTTTAACTTCTCAAGTTGAAATCATCTCACCCTTTCTCAACCGTTTATTTTCCAACCTGTCAAAGGGGTCAGGAGTGTTTGTCAGAGAAGCATCTATAGCATCTGTGCCCTCTGCATTGCCCTCTGGCAGAAGTTGTTTGCCTGAAACTTGGGACCAGCTTTGGCATTTTAAGCAGGTTGGTTGGCAGAGGTGGACTAGCAGCAGCAGGGAGGGAGCATTGTGTCTGTCTCACTTGGATTCTGCCCCAAGGGCTCACAATCTGTTTCCCTCCTGCACCAAGTACCCTAGCACTGCTCAGTGAATGAGAGTTAACAAAATCAGCCTGGCTTCCACAAGGAACTTGGGCTCCTTTTTGCCTCAGGAGGGCAAGTGGCTTCCCAGACAGCATAATTGGGAGAACACATTGTTCTGTCATCCAGGCTGGAGTGCAGTGAAGCGATCTTAGCTCTCTGCAGCCTCTGCCTCCTGGGTTGCAGCAATACTTTTGCCTCAGCCTCCCTAGTAGCTGCGATTACAGGCATGCGCTACTACGCTCGGCTAATTTTTGTATTTTTACTAGAGAACGGGATATCACCTTGTTGGCCAGGCTGTTCTCAAAGCCCTGACCTCAGGTGATCACCCACCTTTGCCCCCAAAGTGTTGGGATTACAGGTGTGAGCCACCATGCCTGGCCAAGCCTCTCTTAATTAGACGACTAGATAACCTACTCGGAGATTTGATTAGCATCTTTCAGATTTTCCGAGAGAGGAGAGTCATCCCCAGCAGCTTGATGGCCTAATTTTGTGTTTATTACCACAGTGACTTTGCTTTTTAAACCAGTAGGCTTCTGCCAGGGAAGACTCGCAAGTGGCAGGAGACCTGGCTCTGCTGTACAAAGGATGTTCTCACTTCAGAGTTTCTGCCCAGTTCATGTTTTCCGTCCAATACACATGCACACACACAAGCAGTTGCTTATGTGACTGCAGCCTTGTTTTCCTCAGCTGTGATTTTGCCTGTGGACTGCTCTGTGTACTCCCGTAGCATTAACCAGTCATGGGATGTGGGCTCCCAAAGCAGGGCCTGGCCCCAAGTGAGGCGGCGGCTCCCTTCGTAGAAGGGCAGTGTCCGGGAGGGACTTGTGAGCTGTCAGCACCAGCACGCGTGGTGCCTCAGTCTTGCGGGGGGAGTGCAGACTAGAGCCACAGCACTTACCTCTGCAGTAGTTCTCAGAGCTCTCCCCACCTGAAACCTCACCTGGAAAGGGCAAATCCTCCAGCCCCACCCCAGAGGGACAGAATCAGAAGCTGGGGAAGGGTCCAGCAGTCTGTGCTCACAGCCCTCTGGGGGATTCTGAAGCATGCTCAGGTTTGAGAGCTCCTGTATTATAATGACAAATATTTGTAATTGGGGCTGAGCGCAGTGGCTCATGCCTGTAATCCCAGCACTTTGGGAGGCCGAGGTGGATGGATCATTTGAGGTCAGGATTTTGAGACCAGCCTGGCCAACATGGCAAAACCCCGATTCTACTAAAAGCACAAAAAATAGCTGGGCATGGTGGCACATGTCTGTAATCCCAGATACTCGGGAGGCTGAGGCAAGAGAATCTCTTGAACCTGGGAGGTGGAGGTTGCAGTGAGCCCAGATCACACCACTGTACTCCAGCCTGGGCGACAGAACTAGACTCCATTTCAAAAAAAATTTTTTTAATTTTTTAAGAAAATTATTTAAAAATGATAAACATGTGTGTTATAGGACCCAGCCCTTCACTCCAGGGTATTTAAACGAGAGAAGGCATATGTCTACACAAAAACTTGTACGTGGATGTGCATAGCAGCTGTACTCAAAACAGCTTTAAACTAGAGACAACCTAGATTCATCAGTAGGTGAATCTCAGCTCACTGCAACCTCTACCTCCTGGATTCTAGTGATTCTCCTGCCTCAGCCACCTGAGTAGCTGGGCTTACAGGTGCATGCCAACATGCCCAGCTAATTTTGGTATTTTAATAGAGACCTGTTTAAATAAACAGAGCTGTTTAAGAAAAAAACAAACAGGTGTGACAGTTACCTGGGAAAGGAAGGGGAACAGGTGGTAGAACACATTTTTTATGATGTTCGTGATACTTACATTATTACACAAATGAATAAAATAGGAGGGATAGAAAAGAGAACAAAATGAAGGAAAACTGTCAGTTTCCATCCTTAACACCAGCACCACCTGCAGCTAGCATCCCTGGCTGCAGTCACATCTGCGGTCCTGCTGTTCATGAAGCTGTCCTCACTGCCATGTCCCATGTCATTGCTCTGGCCACTTCCATCCCTGGCTTCCTGGTGCCACTGTCCTCCACCTGGTGTTCAGGCATGGGGCTGCTTGGCTCACCTCACTGCACCTGGCCTGTCCGTCCTCCCACCACAGGGCTGACCAACGGTCCACAGAAGAGACTCAAGTCCATGTTGTGTCCTCGCAGCCCAGTGGGCACTCGGCAGTGCCAGACGTTTCACGGATAGGTTGTGGTCTCTGAGTCTCAAGAGGAGATTTGTCTTTATTATTGCCAAACTGTCACACTGTGGGTTATGTGTCATTAACAAAAAGCTGAGATTCAGGCTGGTATTTCTTACTGGTGCAGCCAGCCTTTAAGTGCACATCTGGAAATGTTAGCACATTTTCTACTTCCTAGCTCTTCCAGTCAAACACAAGTTAGCAGTGAAAGCCTGTGAGGAATTCTTTGCAACTTATTGATTGGCTATGTCCTTGCCTCCTTGTCTTCCTGCAGATCTGATTTGTATCCACTGTCACCAGCGCTGCTCACTTAGGACTTTCTGGATCCAGAGCAGGCTCCAGCATCCACTGGACTCTTGAGCAAGTGAGTAGCCCCAGCACTGCCTGCCTGTCAAACCTGGGGAGGCTCTTGTCAGACTGAAATCAGAGCAGGCTTCCTGATGGTCCCCTGGGTGTGGGCAGGCACACTTCCCACTGGGCGCACGTGATAAAGCATTGTGATTTTTTTTTTCTTTTGGTGAGAGGAACTTCTGTATCTAAAATCTCAGGAAACCAAGAACTTCCTTTTCTGCTCTAATATATATGTTGAGATTTAATAGCAGTCACTGGAATAATGAGAGGATAGCGTTGTTTAGATGTTAAACAAAAGCCAGAGGGATTCATTATGGAGCTCAGAATCAAATGGCAGAGGAAGGTGAAGTTATCATTTAGCCACACCCAAGATCAGGTAAAATGCTCATTTAACTTACAGGAACTTTTAAGACTGTGGCCTTCAAATTGCTTGGGATTATTTCCATGGAAATGCCACAGTGTTCACATTGTCAGACAATGATAGAAGACAGTTTTTGGTTTGGGTTTTTTTTTTTTTTGAAACAGAGTCTCATTCTATGCCCCAGCTGGAATGTAGGGGCATAATCTCAGCTCATTGCTACTTCCACCTCCTGGGCTGAAGTGAGTCTCTTGCCTCAGCCTCCCAAGTAGCTGGGACTACAGGCACCTGCCACCCCCGCCCAGCTAATTTTTGTACTTTTAGTAGAGATGGGGTTTCCCCACGTTGGCCAGGCTGGAACTCCTGACCTCAGGAAATCCACCCACCTTGGCCTCCCAAAGTGCTGGGATTATAGGCATGAGCCACCTGGCCCATTCATTCACTCACTCACTCACTCATCCATCTATCTCTCTCGCTCTGCCACCCAGGCTGGAGTGAAGTGGCACAATCTTGGCTCCCTGCAAACTCCGCCTCCCAGGTTCAAGTGATTCTCCTGTCTCAGCCTCCTGAGTAGCTGGGACTACAAGTGTGTGCCACCACACCCGGCTAATTTTTATATTTTTAGTTGAGATAGGATTTCACCATATTATTCAGGCTGGTCTTGAACTCCTGATCTCAGGTGATTCACCCGCCTTGGCCTCCCAAAGTCCTGCCATGAGCCATCACTTCCAGCCTTTTTTTTTTTTTTTTTTTTTTTTTTTTTTTTTTTTGAGACTGGGTCTCTGTCTCGCCCTGCCTAGAGTATGGTGCTACCATAGCTCACTGCCTCGATCTCCTGGGCTCAAGTGATCCTCCCACCTCAGTCTTCTGAGTAGCTGGGACTACAGGTATGCATTACTATACTCAGCTAATTAAAAAAAATTTTTTTTTTAAGAGATGGGGTCTCACTGTGTTGCTCAGACTAGTCTTGAACTCCTAGGCTTAAGCAGTCCTCCCAAAGTGCTGGGATTCCAGGTGTAAGCCACCATGCCAACCTTTTTTTTTTTTTTTTGGTGACAATCACCAGAGAGCAGAATTTTACATTGATTTTACATGTTTTTGTCTTAGGTGACTTTTCCTGTTAATTGATAGAAAATGATTTGTCTGTCTTTGAAAGGTGGTACTGTATTAACAAACATGACAGAAGGCTCTGAGGAATCAGTAGCACTTAAAGTACTCACACGTACCTGTATTTTGCAGGAAGGAGACTATAATTTTGTATTCCTTGGTGGAAGAAAATCAGACACTCTGGTGGTCTTGCCTCCAACGATGCAAGTGTGATTGCTGGTGTCTTCATGAGCTCCAGAGGTCACAGCACGCTACCAAGGACTCTCATGGCCCCTCGGATGATTTCCGAGGGAGACATAGGAGGCATTGCTCAAATCACCTCCTCTCTCTTCCTGGGCAGAGGCAGTGTGGCCTCCAATCGGCACCTCCTCCAGGCTCGTGGCATCACCTGCATTGTGAATGCTACCATCGAGATCCCTAACTTCAACTGGCCCCAGTTTGAGTATGTGAAAGTGCCTCTGGCTGACATGCCACACGCGCCCATTGGACTGTACTTTGACACCGTGGCTGATAAGATCCACAGTGTGAGCCGGAAGCACGGAGCCACCTTGGTGCACTGTGCCGCAGGGGTCAGCCGCTCAGCCACGCTCTGTATTGCGTACCTGATGAAATTCCACAATGTGTGCCTGCTGGAAGCATACAACTGGGTGAAGGCCCGGCGGCCTGTCATCAGGCCCAACGTTGGCTTCTGGAGGCAACTGATAGACTACGAGCGCCAGCTCTTTGGGAAGTCGACAGTTAAAATGGTACAGACACCTTATGGCATAGTTCCCGACGTCTATGAGAAGGAGTCCCGACACCTGATGCCTTACTGGGGGATTTAGTGCCACTGGAGCCTGCATCAGCAGCCCAAGCAGGACCGGCATCTGCTCCCTGCCGGCTGCTCCCTCTCCACACTCTACTCAAATGGCTGACTTCTAGTTCTCCCTCAAGTGTTTTTTACACTGGGTGTTCAAATTTATTTTAAGAGATAGGGAGGGGACATAAAGGGAATGCATATATTGCTAGTCACATTTTTTAAATTAACATTTTGGAATAGTGTTTATGAAAATCTTTCGCTTTTAATCATTTTTAACAATTGGAACAGTTTAATAAACTGTTTGGTTCTGCTCTCTTCTGAATCTCATGCCTTTGGCACTTTGGGAGGTACAGGAGGAGCTCAGTGCAAAAATCACTTTGGGGCCTCATTAACCCTTTAGAGACAAACTTTGCCCCAGGCTGCTGACCAGACAGATGCTTAGGGAAGACTGATACCAGCTTCAGTCTCTACTGGATTAGCCCTACTCTTTCCTTTCTCCTCTATTATTTAGTGACTCTGTAAGTTAAAATAAATACACCTTTATTATTTAGCTGTTAAGGAACTATAATGAAGTCTGCTGCAAAAAACTCTCTTGGATCCATGTACCCAGGATTATATTAGCATTATTTTTAATAAATCTATATGCTTAACATACTAGAATTTTTACTAATAATTTCAGGGTATGTGTGTTGATGGAAAAAAGGTGCTCTCCAGTAACTGCTAAAATGTGGCTCTTGTGACAACTGTGAACACTTAATACACCTCCCACCCTGGTGGCTGGGCAGACACACTGTTCCTAGTGTGGGGCTGGTGAGAGATGACAGTGCATGCTCTGATCAGGGGTGCTGGTTTTGGTTTCCTCTTAGTGGAGGGCTCCAAAGCAGCATGTCCTCCACCAGAGAAACTGGTTTTCAATAAAAGGTGCCTTTGCTTGACTATCATCACATACGAAAATGCCCTTAAACTAAACCTCAGAATAAGAGATAAGCAAATAACAGTGGCTTTGTTTAACACTGGGAATGTCACTCACTCCACTGCTCCTGATAATTGGGCAGCACTGCTCATCAGGTACATAGTAGAAGGTGGATGAACTCACCTCTGTCCCACTCCTGGGTGTTTTCCACGTGGTGCCTTTATTCTGGCTGGAGGGCGGCCTGGGATTCTGCCCGTGCGAACCGTGTCACGGCACTGCTTATGTGGCTTCATTTGTCAGGGAGGTTGTAGCTTGCTCACCACAGGACTTCTAGATTTTTGGGGGTCAGTTTTGGCAGGAAACCATGTATATGCCAGTAGCTACATGTTTAGACAAATATCCTCCAGATTTTACCTGGTTTGTGGCAATGGTTTTTTTCAATCTAAAGTCTACCTTTTCTTGCTTTATACCCCTGGCCGCCCATTCTTATAAACATGCATCATTACTCTCTAAATAGGAAAATTAAAATTATTAATAGTTTCTGTGGGAAATCAGAGGAACCAACCAATGCTATAAGATCAAAAATCATCATCATCATCCAGGGAGGCCCTGGCTGCTTTAGTATGAGGCTCAGCTTTGAGTCTGGAAGTTTCTGAATAAGAGCTCCCAAATCACCACTGTCTTAGGGCGAGAAGATACCTGCTAACAGATGTTCTTGGTAATTAATGGAAATTACCTGTAGAATTCCTGGCAAGCAGCACTATGGGGCTGTAACTAAGTTCTTCACACATGGGAAGTCGAATACCTTTGTAATCTAAGTGTGTGGGCCCCTGTTCATCCTGGTGACTTGGCATCTATGTGAAATCAACCCAACAAAGACAAGACCAAGAAAAAGTCTAGTAGCCTGACATTGTTCTACGCTTGTATTTTGGTTAGTGAAGTTTAACAACACTAACTGTTCTGGGCCTGTTCTGTGATTTCAGAACAGACCCTGAAAATATTTTAAAGGTAAAACTTTATAATATCTAAACATATCAATTAGAGCAGTTATTAAAATATAAACAAGGGAAAAAAAAAACATACCATCTTTTAAAATACAGGAGCAAATTCCACATCACACAGAAGACAATGCATTTCCCTACAGGCCATAGCATTCACTGGTTAATAAAGCCACAGCTACAAAGTAATGAGATGTCCCACGTGAATAACCACTTAACGTTCACATCAACATATAAATGATGGAATTAAGTAAAAGCTTCATTATAATGATATAAAAAGCATGTGTCAAGTGGCATTTTTCTCCCAACTGTTTCACTAAAGCTTTATTTCCTCAGCCCAGCAAGGAGTGGGCTTTTCAATATTGCTATTTAGTGCACACTTACCTGAAGAAATAAATACCTTAAACATAAAAAATACAGGCGACACACACTGACATTTGCTGGAATGGTCTACAGCAGGCTACAGCGCTCCCTGTCTGAATGGCAAATGTCTGAAAATGTCAGTTTATTAACTGTTCACAAAGGAAGGCATTTGACCTCGAAGGTATTCAGGGGAATTTTTGTAGTGGTCCCTAGTACAGGGCCAGCATTTCATATTTCTGTAACATACAGCCCCTATGATCTTTCCAAAGCCGAAGCACACATTAAACAGGCAAAGAAAAGACACTTTTAAACAAGACCCCCCAAGACTCTTCAACTGTGTATATGTACACAAAATATCCAATTTTTTTTTTTTTTTTTTTGAGACGGAGTTTCGCTCGTTACCCAGGCTGGAGTGCAATGGCGCGATCTCGGCTCACCGCAACCTCTGCCTCCAGGATTCGGGCAATTCTCCTACCTCAGCCTCCATGTAGCTGGGACTACAGGCGTGTACCACCATGCCCAGCTAATTTTTTGTATTTTTAGTAGAGACGGGGTTTCACCATGTTGACCAGGATGGTCTCGATCTGTTGACCTCGTGATTCACCCATCTCGGCCTCCCAAAGTGCTGGGATTACAGGCATGAGCCACCGCGACCAGCCAAAATATCCAAATTAAACACACACAACCCATATGAAATGCTAACTAGCAACCACAGGAAAAATAAAGCATGGAAAATATCCTAAGATATCCAGTACCTCTTCTAGCTCAAGCATGTCCAGACAAAAATTAAATTACACACTAAGCCATACAAATTTTAAAGGCAAAACATCCCACCAAAAAAAGAAAAGGGCTTAATCGCCATTCAAGCAGTGGGGTGAAGCCACCGACACAATACACAGTATGGAAATAAGTAACCTTGGTTACCGTTTCCAAGGACACAGGGCTCCTGGCTAACGAGAAGAGCTGAGGTGAAGCTGAATGCAGTGCTGTCATTATAAACGTTTATAAAGAAAAGCAGCGCAACAGTGTCCCACACTCCTCGGATCCCCATTGGTGGCATCTAATTAAACATTTCAAGTATTCAACAGATATGAAAGGTACTGAATACTTTTCATAGCAAAAGCTTTTTTTTGTTGATGTCTGCTGAATTTCCCTGTGGCACCTCCCAAGGAGTGACTAAGCCTATCGTCCTTGGTACTAAGGAATTTTATCTGAGGCATTCTGGAATTTCTCAGAAATAGAAACCAGCCCAGTTAACAAGTGAGTTTACTTTTTAAATGTCGATACTAGGCCACTGTGATGGGATAGGAGTCTACAGAGCATTTTGAAAAGTTCCAGCACTATAAATTCAAGCTGGGAAACTTTTTTTTTTTTTTAAGAGACAGAGTAGTCTAGGCTGGAGTGCAGTGGCACGATCATAGCTTACTGCAGCCTCAAACTCCTGGACTCATGCAATCCTCTCGCCTCAGCTTCCCAAGTAGCTGGGACCACAAATGCCCATAGATGCACACCACCATGCCCAGCTAATTCTTTTTTTGTACAGTCGGGGTCTTGTTATCTTGCCCAGGGCTGGTCTCTAACTCCTGGGAAATATTCTTACTGCAAAGGCAGATTCTGTTGTCATAGTTCTGTTATGAAGTTTATAAGGTCAATTAGAAGCCTGCTTGCATTCCAGCTCCATGTGGAGCTGGCGCTGCCCAGGATGAAAGCACCAAGGCCTCTGCAAAAGCCTGCCAAAAACTGTCCCACTAGCCTTGTGGTGGGCAAAGGCTCCAAAGGTGCCACTTCAGAGTGAGCTGTCTCAGTCATGAATGGCCAGAGATGGTATCATTGGGAGCCAGTGAGAAAAGCATTTCTCTTCCCAGTGCCTCTTGTGCATTCGGGTATGCAGAAGGTCAAGCAGAAGCCTCACCAACAGCTGTTTAATGAAAACCTTCTAAACCTTTCTTGAAGAACATGGAAAAGCTGTAAGATGGAGCAAGATAGAATTTATCCTGATGGGGAAAATAAATTATGTAAAAGCAATTATATACACAAACACCTTTTCAGTTTAAAAATAAAAGCTAAGTCTAGGTCAGAGAGCCGAAGCCATGCAGAGGAAAGTAAAGCAGACTGAAAAACCTCTTCACAAAGCGCATCAACAACAGTTCAGAGACGTGTGTCCCAGATCGCTATGTTCTTCCTAGGAATAACACAGTGTTCAGCCACTTGGCTTTTTCCCTCTAATTTTATGCATTCAGATTAAATGGCAAAGAAAATTCCCTACACCGGGAAGCAGGAGCTTTTCCATCTAAAATTCAGTACTATTTCTCAACAGTTTCCTTCTACTTCTTCTAAGTCATGTATCTACCCATAAATACACATCTTGCTACTTTACACTAGGCCAAGAACTCCACATTTTCACCCTGAATTAATTTTCAGGTTTTTCTCAAGATACTGCTGTGAAGTCAGGCAGTGTTGGTCCCTATGCAGTCATCTTTGGAAATTTGGAGACGGGCCACTGCAAAGAGATTTCATCCCACTGCCTTTCTGAATCTCGTCCGAGAAAACTGCACGGTCGCAGTCTTTGCATGTGGCAAAACAGGTTTGCACTGAAGGCTCCTGGAGGGGAAGGGTATTATCCTGATACACAGGATTTGGGCCTCCGTCAAAATGAGCAATCTTCATGACAGCAGAGTGCCCAGGCCTGTTTTGGGAAAAAGTCTTGATAGCTGACAGAAATGAAAGTAGAGAACTGGTTTGGTTATGACAACAAAGTTGGTGAAAGCTACACTCACCTGCCTGCTACAATCCAGGGGAGATGGGCACAGAACATCATTTAATCACAATCTCCCCCTTTTTATTCATTACAGACATTAACAAACTAAATGCAGATAAACGCATTCTACTTCACGGGACAGTACGCATCCTACATAAAAACAAGCACTGGCTTGAAACCATTGCCCGTTCCTGTCCCACAACAATAATTTATTTTTCTTCAAATGTCAGTTCTTCACAGTTTCAATACTGCAGCAGCAAATTATTCCTTAGATCAAGAAAGCTATGGTCCATATTTTAGAAGATCTTAAGAAAAGTAGAGAGAAGTGAGCAAACTTCCGTTGCCATGTGCAGTTTGGGTGGGACAGTTTTACCTCCAATCCCGAAGACCGGCCGTGGGAATGACTGGGCCCGGCAGCGTCCCCCGTGCCTTGCGGTGTTCTTCATCTAGAGTCACGGCAGCCAGCTGTGCAGCATTCGCATTCTAGTTATTGGTCCCTGTCATCCCATAGGGTGTCACAGAAAAAAAAGTTGATGCTTCACAGAGGAGTTGTTCAGAGCAGGTCAGGCAGGATGAGGCCAGGAGGCTTTGGTTCGACACAGTTGATCCAGAAGTTGGCACAGCTGGCGTGATACTGGTGCCCTCCATAGGCCAGCTTGAAACTGTCTGTTTCTGAGTTGAATGCCTGCCAGATATAAACAGAGATGTGGGGCAAGTCAGGCTTTTTCTGCATCTAAGAGCTTTTCAGCAACCAACATGTACATCTCTCCAGGTCACAGAGGCTGAGGCCAAAATGGCACACACACAAAAGCTGACGGGTAGCTATAAGAATTCAAGAGAGAGGTTTTTTACTGCTAATTAAAGGTATAAAAACTGTTACCACTAAACCTAGTTTCAGCAACAGGCGGCCAAATCTTCCATGGAAAAGGCAGACACAGGTTATGGGGCAGAGGGGGGAATCATGATAATGGGAACCAAGGTAGCCAAGGGTTGTGGATAATTTCTGCCCCACACTGTGCTGGAGCAAGCCCTCCTCCCAAGGCTGGCATCTGCCTACAGCATGCAATCCTTTACTTTCCTGTAGCTGAGCACAAGCCTATCATGACAAAAAATTACAGGAGAGTTAGAGAACAACAGATAACAAACAACTCTCGGGGTCTAATGTCATTGGGAGCTAATAACTGAATCTACATTATCAAAAAATCCAAACAGGCATAGAGTTCAAAAATAAAATACCTTGAAATGAATGGGCATTGAACACATAAGAATTATTTCCAGATGAGTAGGCTTACCAGTAAGCTACAGTCAGCCATGGAAAAGTAGTCCATATCTCAACCACTTCCTGGGGTTAGTTTTCTAACACACTGCAAATAAACAACTCTAAAACCCAATTTGCCTTTTTTTTGGAGACAGAGTCTCACTCTGTTGCCCGAGTGCAATGGTGCGATCTCAGCTCACTGCAACCGCCACCTCCTGGGTTCTAATGATTCTCCTGCCTCAGCCTCCTGAGTAGCTGGGACTACAGGCGTGCACCACCACACCCGCCTAATTTTTTTTTTTTTTGATTTTCAGTAGAGACGGGGTTTCACCATGTTAGCCAGGATGGTCTCGATCTCCTGACCTTGTGACCTGCCCACCTTGGCCTCCCAAAATGCTGGATTACAGGTGTGAGCCACCACACCCAGCCTCCAATTTGCTTCTTGTCTGTCAACAGCTAAACAGCTAAATCCTGAAGCTCTTTGATCTCCTTCTGTGTGTCACTACAAGTTCCAGCCTTCCAGAAGTTGCTTATTCTGTTACCTCATTCATCACAGAGAAAAATAATGGCAACAGCAGAAGCCAATTATGAGAAACAAGCATGCAAATAAGACAGAAGTGGACCCACACAGATACATTAGTTGATTAAATCAAACATTATGAGAACAAAAACAACTCAGTGAAGGATTCATGATCGGAACAGTTCAGGATGGCGATGGATGGAATCATCCAATTTGCCTTCCATACTCAAAATTCAGATGGAGACACTAAGATAAGGTGTAACTGGTTCATACTTTTTTAGGATGTTCTTCTGCAGGCTTCTCTTCTTTCTGAAATAATGTTGAAACCATAGGTCAACAAAATTCCCAGAACAGGGCCTCTGGCCTCCAAATACATCCTTACAGGTTCACCCTTTCCTCCTAACCAACCCACAATGCACAGGCTGCTGCAGGCACCAGAGCGGTGTCCATTCTCCCCACAGCTCCCCACCCCCCGCCGCCCACCCTGCTCTCCCGTGTCTGCTCCCATCATCAGCTTTTAGGACTTGAGAAAATCCCCACTTCTGGTCACAAGCTTTGCAATAAAGTGGGCCAGATGAGGTTGTCCCGAGTCGCGTTAGGGAGGCCCTTTGCCATCTGCAAGGGGAGCTACGTGACTTACCCGGCTCCTTGAGTCCACATTTAAGAGGCACACGCCGCAGGCAAGTTCCTGAGCATTTTTAATCCCAGGCCGTAGCATACAGGAGGAAAAATCCAGCGAGTTCTCATCTGGCTGTGAGGATGATAAGACAAACGGGTAAGAAGTCCAGCGAGTCCATGAGCTGTTCGCTTCACACTCCCTTGTCACTCACCCCCAGTAGGTCTGGTGGCAAGTTAAGAACTCTCTAATGCCACCACTACAATCATTAAACTTCCCAAACATCTGAGAACCCACTATGTTCCAGGTGCTAGGAAAGCTGGCACCAGTAAAATATGTCCTCTGGCCTCTGAGAACTCGGTCTTCGGTGGCCACCCAGGGGAGCCAGTGCAGTGCCATGAGTGCCGGGTGTGCTTACTCAGGGGAAGTCCTGAGTGCCAGGGCACAAGGGAGGGGCACTTAGCCCAACCCAAGGAGGGAGGGTCCTGAAGCCAGAGACTGCTTCCTAGAACTTTTTTTTTGAGACAGAGTCTTGTTCTGTCGCCGGCAACTTCTGCCTCCCAGATTCAAGCGATTCTCCTGCCTCAGCCTTCCAAGTAGCTGGGATTACAGGCGTGCCAACATGCCCGGCTAATTTTGTGTTTTTAGTAGAGACAGGGTTTCACCATGTTGGTCAGGCTGGTCTTGAACTCCTGACCTCAGGTGATCTACCACCTTGCCCTCCCAGAATGGTGGGATTACAGGCATGAGCCACCATACCTGGCCTGCTTCCTAGAACTTAGAATCACCTTGATTGAATCTAGATGGGAATTGCTAAGTGAAGGGGATGGGGCTGGGTGAGGTAAGGGAGGGAAGGATATTCTATGCGGAAGCAGCAGCAAGCGCAAAGACCTCTGAACTAAAGACGAGGTATGGGAAGGAATCTAGAGGGTGGGGGCAGAGCCCAGGAAAGGAGGAAGATGAAGTCGCAGCATGAGAACCTTAAGGAAGACAAGGAGCATCCTGGAAGCCACTAAGGGTTCCAACTAGATCATGACAGGTTCGTATTATTGACAGATAAGATACCGCCTATGCTGCAGAATAGGCAATGAATTGGGGGGTGGCAATCGCGGGGCCTCAGCCAGAAGGCTGCTGCGGCAGTCCTGGAGACAGATACTGATGGTCAGAATGAAGGCAGCGGCGGTGCGGAATGCAGAGAAATGGACAGGTGAAAGAGCTGCTAAGGCAGGAGAACGACAAGGCCTGGCTGACTTGTTGGAGGTGAGAAGTTGGAGGGCCCGGGCAGCTGAGAAAAGTCACCATAATGAGACATGTGAGAGAAGGACCAGGCTTGAGGATGGAGGCTGAGGAGAAGAGTTCAGTTTCGTACAAGCTGAGCTGGAGCTGCCTGTGGGACAGCGAAGGCCACATGCTATAGAAGCAGGGGGCTGAATATACATACAGGCCTAGTGCTTACGGACAGATCTGGAAGTCACCAGCTACAGACCATAAATAGAACAACAGCTAATAAGCCCTTACTTTGATGAGCACTATACTAAGCTCTTTACATGCATCATCTAATTCACTCCTAACTAAAAAAAAAAAAAAGTTAAAAGGGTAGGTCTCAATCTTGGAAAGCTGTCCATTTGCTCTGTTGCTCAGGCTGGAGTGTAATGGCATGATCACAGCTCACTGCAGCCTTGACTTTGTGGGCTCGAGAGATCCTCCCACCTCAGCCCCTCAAATAGCTTGGACCACACGTGCGTGCCACCATGTCCAGGTCATTTTTTTGATTTTTTGTAAGATGTCTCCCTATGTTGCCCAGGGTGATCGTGAACTCCTGGGCTCAAGTGATCCTGCCGAAGTGGTGGGATTACAGGCATGAGCCACTGCGCCCAGCCCTGCAGCACACTTTTATTTTTATTTATTTTGAGACAGGGTCTGAATCTGTTGCCCAGGCTGGAGTGTGGTGGTGTCATCTTGGCTCACGCTAGCTTTTGCCACCTGAGCTCAAGCGATCCTCCTGCCTCAGCCTCCCAAGTAGCTGGGACTACAGGTGTGCACCACCATGCCTGGCTAACATACTTTTTTTTTTGAGACAGGGTCTCGCTCTTTGACCCAGGCTAGAGTCCAGTGGTGCAATCTAAGCTCACTACAACCTCTGCCTCCTAGGTTCAAGCAATTCTTCTGCCTCAGACTCTTGAGTAGCTGGGACTATGGGCATGCACCACCAAGCCCAGTTAATATTTGTATTTTTAGTAGAGACAGCATTTCACCATATTGGCCAGGCTGGTCTCAAACTCCTGACCTTGTAATCCACACGCCTCAGCCTCCAAAAGAGCTGGGATTACAGGCATGAGCCACCACACCTGGCCACACACTTTTAAGTTTGATCTGTACTAGTAACATTTTCTCCATCACTTTTTAGCACTGAGGGATTTCCTCAGTGCTTAAAGAACTGAGACACACATAACCCTGAAAGCTGGACAACAGTAAAATTTAAGAACTAGGATGTTTTAAGCATTACCCCTATTTTTAATATAATTTATTTAACTGCAAATTTATATCATTTAATTTGTGTTTTTTGTTTTGCTTTTGAGCTAGAGTCTCACTCTGTCACCAAGGCTGGAGTACAGAGGCATGATCATGGCTCACCGTAGCCTCAAACTCCTGGAATCAAGCAATTCTTTTGCCTCAGCCTCCTGAGTAGCTGGGACTAAAGGTGTGTACCACTACACCTGGCTAACTTCTTTATTCTTAGTAGAGATGAGGTCTTGCTATGTTGCCCAGGCTGGTCTAGAACTTCTGGCCTCAAGCAATCCTTCCACCTCAGCCTCCTGAAGTGTTAGGATTACAGATATGAGCCACTGCACCCAGTCTTCATTTAATTTTTAGTAATAACTACTTAACAAATGGCTCATAAAATTGCTTTTTTTTTTTTTTTTGAGATGGAGTTTTGCTCTTGTTACCCAGGCTGGAGTGCAATGGCACGATCTCGGCTCACCGCAACCTCTGCCTCCTGGGTTCAGGCAATTCTCCTGCCTCAGCCTCCTGAGTAGCTGGGATTATAGGCGTGCGCCACCATGCCCAGCTAAGTTTTTGTATTTTTAGTAGAGACGGGGTTTCACCATATTGACACAAGGATGGTCTCGATCTCTTGATCTCGTGATCCACCCTCCTCGGCCTCCCAAAGTGCTGGGATTACAGGCATGAGCCACTGCACCTGGCCCAATTCCTCAACATTTAACAATCAACTCTTGCAAGCCAGTAAGAACTGGCTCTAACACCCTAGTGCAACAGAATGAAATCTTAGGTGGGAGCCTAGAAGTTGAGGAGTTCCTCCCAGAGGTCTTATCCTTGCTCTCAAGCAGGAGGTGAGATCATCAGCTGGGTCTGAAATAGCAGTAGCCTTGTGAACGCCAAGCAGCAAACTCAGGGTGGTGTGATTCTCTCCCCCAGCACACATGGGTCAGGGTAGGGGTGGAGAACGTGGATGGCTGCACTGATTCTGTTTGGGTTCTATCCACTGAGTATGACTGGAGGGAGTGAGTAGGGATGCCCCATGAACCGTGGAGAGTAAGCAGGTGAGAAAAGCAAAGACAGAAGAGGGTTGATAGGACCACAGTAAAAGAGACAATGTCCTGTCTTGAGAACCAAAAACAAGAGCAGTGCCAGTGAAGACTGAGACAATGGACGGTTGCCAATCTGTCTCAGGAAGTTAGATGTCTGAGTCCGAGGTTGCACAGGCACAGCACAGTGTTTGCTAAGACAGCCCACCATGATGATGCGAGCAGGTGGCTGAAGGGCAGGAGAAACAAGGGCCTGTGCTCCGGGCGGTCAAGCATCTGTGGGCCTGGCATGGTGGCTGTTTGTCCTCATGGATACTGAGGTGACCCAGGAGGATGGCAAATACCTGCCACAAAAACAGCTACATTTCCCATAGTTATTCCAGTCTGAATCACTGAGAAGTTTACACATCATTTTTGAGCAACAACGCAAAATTATATCATCTGTATTTTTCCTCACCAGAAAAAAGATTTCTCCTTATAAAAATAAAAATGTGTAGATTATGTATGATGTTCCCTGTTCCTTTCTAATTTGAAATAATAAACCACAAACTAGCACCACGAAACTTTCTTAAACACATTTGAGCTAGATCCATTGAGATCACAGCTGGGTAAGGAAGAACACATGGTTTTCAAAGAAAAGGTGAGGTGTATGTTTCAACCGTGTGCAGGGGACGCTGATGTACGTGATCATAGTAAACTTACATGGCCTTAGTCAAGTCATAGGGTATGTTTTCTTTTCTTTTTTTTTTTTTTTTTTTTTTGAGATGGGAGTTTTACTCTTGTTGCCCAGGCTGGAGTGCAATGGTTCGACCTCGGCACCACAACCTCCGCCTTCAAGGTTCAAGCGATTTTCCTGCCTCAGTCTCCAAATTAGCTAGGATTACAGGCATACTCCACCATGCCCAGCTAATTTTGTATTTTTAGTAGAGATGGGGTTTCTCTATGTTGGTCAGGCTGGTCTCGAACTCCCAATCTCAGGTGATCCACCTGCCTCTGTCTCCCAAAGTGCTGGGATTACAGGCATGAGCCATCACACCCAGCTCTGTTTTCTTTCCCCTCTTTTCCTTTTTAGTGCGACATGGTCACTGTGGTCAAATGCAGAAGAGGCTGGCACTACCACTTACTTGTTCTGCAGTCAGTCATCTGTAAAATGTTAACAATTTCACTTGCCCTACACCTCTCTCCCATTTATATATATTTCAGATAAACATAAAACATGCTCTGGAAGGGAAAAACTGTCTATATTATCACCATTATTCACTTTGACACAAACTCTCAGCAAGCTTTTTAAAGAGGTTAAAACATAGTCTCACCTCTGTAATCCACATTATAGATAGTTACCATGTTATTGAATCAGGGCTATTTGAGAAATAATTAGAATCTGAGAAAACTCTGAGTCCTGAAATCAACCAAGAGAAGCCCCCTAATATCTGTTTACCAAAGGCAAAAGGAAAGCAAATGAAAAGGACATACGGTAATCTCCAATGAAAACCAAGGCTCTGCATAAATGACCCTGTGATCAAATAGCTCTTTCAGCTGACCAAATTAACCTTCCTAAGTACATATGTATAAAAAACAGGATGATTA